TTTAATTGTCTGAAGTGTAGCTGCAGTGTCAGTGCACCTGCCACAAGGTATCAACACGGGATCCGACATGAATAGCGTCCCTTGCTTCTTTTCCCTTTTGTCACTCACAGGAAGCGAATAATACTGTTCAGTTACCTGTGCCATTGTTCTTCATCTAGTTTCATTTCGCTTTGGGATGATATATAGAAATTCGGTCCGTACCTCACAGGAAACACACTCCGTCCCCAAAACAACCGGTTAATGCTGTTTAGAGAAACAGTCGCTGTTTACTGTGAGAACCATACGGAACACACTGATACACTCTGTGGGCAGAATATATAGCAATTCAGTCCGTACCTCACAGGAAACACATTACGTCTCCATAACAAAGCCCAACCGGTTAATGCTGTTTAAAGAAACAGTCGCTGTTTACTGTGAGAACCATACGGAACACACGGATACACTCTGTGGGCAGAATGCAGAGTTTCTGGATGTTAAAGGCAGTGGTGCATATAGTTACCACCGTGATTTAGAGGCTTAAGTCTGTCTGGAAGAACTTCATTCTGCCACTGCAGTGCCTGTATTGCGATAGAAAAGCCAAAGTTAATGTCAGGACTGGAAATGACGCAGGGTCCTTCAGCCTCTCAAATCCTTCCCCTCCGTTTATGGAGCACGAAGGTTCATTACCGGGTTCACAAGATCCCGCCAGTGGGCCATATCCTGAGCCAGATGAATCCAGTCAACGCCCTCACACATTACTTTGCTGAAAATTACATTTTACACTGTTTCCATCTCCCCCTACTTATTCCAAATTATCTCTTCCCTTCACGGTTTCCTAATAATTTTTTGGCGCATTCATTATGTGTCCCATGCGTGCTGCATGCCTAGAGAATCACCTACCCTATTAATATTTGGCGAGCAGTGAAAGTTACGAAGCTCCTCATTATGCACTTTTCTCCATCCTGGTCCGTACCGTCTCGCTGCAGGGCCGACTGAAGCTGCCGGTGTCGCACCGCGCCTGCCTCCCCCCGCTCCGCGCCGAGTCATGCCATTAAATGACTCACAGTCACGTATCCCTTTTGTGCTCAGAGCAACGGGAATTAAATTCAGTTATAAACAACTCGAGGGGCTGATAATGTCCCGGGCGCCTCGACCCCCACCGCCACCAGATTATGGGGGGGGGGGGTTTGTTCATTAAAATGTTGCACTTCATAAGGACGGCGCACTCGGACTGAATGCGAGAGAGGTGACGGCTGGGCAGGGCGGTCCTGTGTGCCTGAGGGGCACAGACGGGACGTTTCGGGAGCAGCTAGAAAATTTGCTAAAAGTCTTATATTCCAGTCGTGTAAGACTGTTCTCAGCGATCGCCCTACGGTACTCAGGCCAGAAGAACATATCTTGTTAAATATACTTTATTTAATATGTGGTACATTTTCTTCTTTTTTTAGTTTTGATCTTTTAAAAGAGCCTATGGGGAGACATCTGGCTTTCCCCCATCTCCCTGAAGTCGCCATTTGGTATTTCTATACGATTATGATGTAAGCCGAAATTCGTGATTATTATGCACGGTTATAAAATCAAGGAATATGAGATGGACTGAACATACAGCACACACGGGAGGCATGAAAAATAAATACACGATTTTAGCTAGAAAGCTTGAAGAGAAGAAACTACTTACAATACATAGGCTTAGGTGGGAGGATAATATTAAAACGAATCTTGAATATGTGAGATGTTGCTATATGGCCTAGATACACCTCGTTGTAGCGTCCCTTGAGCAAGTGAAAGGCGTTTTCGGTATCGAGACCAGTTGTTACACGTTACAGCTGGTCCATCGCGTGTAAGCGAATCGTGAGACAACAGGCCTCGCTCATTGCGCGAGCAAAGGGAATCCCCACACGACTGCTGGAGCTGCGGCTTGCGGGCGGGCCGCTTATGCAATGCGAGCGTTCTAATTTTAACTTGACACAGTTGTTCAGTTCCACGTAACAACAAGTGAATAAGACTTCCGCTCCGTGAACAGGTGTTCGGTGTTCCCCTTCTGTAGTTCAAGGCCCATTACCGGTTCAGGTTGGTGTCACGCTGGAGCGAGCGGCACTTCAGACAGACCGTACTAATTTACAGTTGAATATCCCAGCAAACGCACTCTGTGAGAAAGAAGAAGAAGAATGAGAGACACATTGGGGGAGGGGGGGGGTAAGAAACTATATCCCCGATTTTGAAGGTTCCCAGGCAGTGCCCGCGTTTCCTTCTCCTATAGGTAAAACATATAACCGGATTTTTTAAATATATTATATATTTTATGACGCTGGAAGGGGTGCATTATAATAATTTTTTTTTGCTAACGTTGGGAGGGCTGCATGTGAGGCATGCAGCACAACGTGTAATTTGGGTACCAACTCAGCATTTGCTCTAGGACCGAGGAAAACCACGGAAAACCATGGTCGAGTTGGCCGGTCGCAGGACCTTCCGGATGCAAACTGACTTCTTTCTAGCCAGCAGTCCGGCACTAAATACGCGAACCCTAACATTAGCCCCTGTCTGGCTGGAATGTCTCAGCATCTACGGACCGCGGGTATTTAAGAATCCAGTTCGTACCTCACAGGAAACACAGAGGCCAACTGTCAGTGCTAATCGGTGGTATATTCTTAGAATGATTCTGAACAGACACACCCTGCAGGCGAGATGTAGGGCTTCTGAATGTTAAAATAGACGGTATATATAGTTACCACTGTGATGTAATTGATTAATAAACCGAGATTACGACACCGGAAATAAAAGCCATTAATTAGGAGAAGTAGGATCACTTACAGACATTCTGTTGATTGTTTGGCGTAAACAAGATGGCTGTCAGAAACACGTATTCTATGGCGTCGAATGGTGCGATATATGAATGATGAATCGGAAGGGATGTGGAAGGAAACGATCGCAGCCTCATCGAAGAAATATCCCCTGGTGACTTAGGGGTTTCGGGATTTTCCTCAGTCTCCCAAAGCAAGTGCACGGCGCTCACTAATCGCGACGAGCCAGGCCATTCCGACGCTGCTGCCTGCCGTCGGAGTTCTGCCGGGGACGAAGGAGCGAGGTGCAGGGGCTGGAATCAATTTACTAAATGGTATTGCTGGTATGAAGTGGGGGGAGGCCTTCTTTATCTTAAAGCAGGGGGCGAACAATCATTGTGTGCCCCTGAGAACAAGAAGTCGTCAGGAAACATCGCGTAATGTTGTGTACTGTTGAACGACGCGCCAGTGACATCCTGGTACCTTGAATAGGCCAGCCTTCAGCATTTCATTCCCCTTTCAATTAGATAATATTGGATAACTCCATAATATGAGCGCATAATGGGAAGGGGTGTTACGACGTTGTTAGCAGGTAGGATGCTGGATGCTGGATGAACGCTGAGCTTGAAGGATCTGGAAGGAGGCGGTCGGCGCCTAATCGAGGTATTATCCCCCAACCTTTGGTTGGAGAGACTGAGAAAAATCATGATTGAAGGTACAGCGCCCGAGATTCGGGTACTGCATCTCCCGAACGCGAGTCTAGGGCGTGACCGTTGCGCCAGCCTGCTCGGTCCCTGTACTTCCTCTGCGAAACTGCGGGTCACAACTTTATTGAACTTGGTGCCAGTGGATACTGGGGGTAAAGCAACCGGGATTTGAAGCTGACGACTCACCCCAACTGGTGCTGAGGTCAAGAAGACGCGGATCTATACCTCGACTCCTCCATACGTCTTCATGGAATTTTGCTTAATTAGTTAAGCGCAGGTTCAACCTTACCTTTTATCTGCTGTTCTGTACTCAGGCTGGGGGCCGAAATTAATTTTGCTTTGTATGAGGCAAATGTAGGAATCGGGTCAGCTCAGTCAGAATAGGGACAATGCTACGGCGTGGACTACCGAAGAATCGGTGTTCGATTCCTGGTGTGGGAAATAAATTTTCTCTGTTCCACAGCGTCCAGATCGGCCCTGGGGTCCACCCAGCCTATGAAATGGGCATCGGGGGCTCTTTACCCTGAGGTAAAGGGGCAGGGGCGTGAAGCTAACCACTCACATCCATCTAGTGCCGAGGTTCAGAATGCGTGGAGCTATACCTCCACTCCACCATTCGTCTTCATGACGTGGTGCTTAATTAAGCGCAGGGATCGAACAGTTACGTCCAGAGTTAACGCCTCTGACTCGACCCAGCAACCTCCAGAATATAAATCTCGGCCGGGCACCGACTGTCCTGGCTTCCGTCGGTCCCTCGACGCAGACGTCTGGAGAGCACGTTCAGTTAGGGCACGAGCGCTTCCTTCCAGATCCCTGTCACTTCGGTATTCACTAAGAACCAAAACCAGCCGACGCAGTATCTTCCGAGATGCTGACGGCACATGGTGCTGACTGTCGCCGTATGGTCTGGTAGAAATTTACTAACGTTTCGGAGGAAAATACTGCCTCCATCTCCAGGACTGTGTTCTGCTTGCTGCGTCCACTTTTAGACACTGAAGACGTAGGCAGTATGTACCTACGAAACGTCGGTAAATTTCTACCAGACAATATGGCGTCAAATCCTAGACGATAGTGATGTTCATTCCAACAAGTAAATAAGCACATGATGTGCTTTAGTTAGAGAAGTGAGGTTATGTAATCACACAGAAAGCAATACGGAGGAACTTGTCTGCCTGTCTGTCCGCACACTTTGCCCGTAAACACGACAACCCGCACACACAACGAGTCTTAACCAATCAATTGAATACTGAGAAACAGATACCCCAGGAGTCGAAACGCCTTTACTGCAGAAGCGGCATAAAGATCTGGCTTCAGTTGCGAGCAGTGTTAGTGTAGCAGTATCACGGTTTACCGCAGTCCCTACCAGGCAAGTGCCGGAATAATACCTGGATCCAGATTACGTCCCGTTCGTCTGCCATCCAACCCTTCGAAGCTACACAGCGCAACTTCTTGCGTGCTACATGCCGTAGCGACAGGCTACGGGCTCCTTTCCCGGCAGAGACAAGATTTCTCTATTGTGCATGTTGTCTTGCAGGTTCCGCTGGTCGCAACTCGGCAACGCCGTACTTCGGGAAGCTGATAGGGACGTTGCAAGAATACGCACACAAGATCAAGGGAACGGCGTACGCGGTTGACGAGAGCACCATATTCATCAAGGGCTTCAACTACGACGGGACAGGCCCAGGTGAGTGGGATGTGAGGCCTAGCTTCTGTCCGACGCCCCCTGAAGCCGGAGGCAGTGTGTTCCTCCGAAACCTCAGTGAATTTCTACCGGACCAGACGGTGTCACATCCCCGAAAACAGCCTCAAATGCAACATGCTATGCAGGTTTCACGTTCAGTACGCAGGTCCGCTATTTGCGTGCATCTATTTACTTACTTATGTATGTGTTTAATGTTACTGATCCAGTCATTATTTGATGTAACGCTTCGGTAAGTGCACTTGTACTTGTCTGTGTGTGACCGCGCCTCTTCTCTTCTGCAGATGCTTTCTTCTGGGTTGGCAACAGCACGAGGCCCTCCCCTGAAGGTTACATCGTCCCTTACCCTGAGGACTACAAAGGGAGGTGAGTAGTGGTTGCAATACAGCTAAATGCAACACGCCGCATGAGAGAGTGGATGTATAGCTCCACCCATTCTTGAACTCGGCACTCTTTTGAGGTGAGTAGTCAGCTTCACGTTCCTTCTGCTTTACTCCAGAGAAACAGAGCCCCTGGTACCCATTGGAGTGGAGGCTGGGTGGGTCCCAGGGCTGGTCTGGACGATTTGGAGATGATGAGCTCTTGTTCCAGCTTGGAATCGAACTCCATTCCCCGGTCGTCGAGCCATTAGCCTAGTCACTATAGTGACTGAGCTACAGTTGTGGTTTCGGTGTGCCACGGGACCTACAAGCGGGAACAGCGAGCGATCAGATCAACATGGCATGAGCATAGGCACCAACGTTTCGGAGGAACCTGCTGTCTCCTTCTTCAGTGGAGATGACCGTATTCTTGAGCTATGTTAACATTCTTTGATCCGAAGCTACTTGGTAGGTCCCCAGTTCAATACCCTGCCGACAGACAAATTAGTCATGGATTTTCATGATTTCAGGAAGTTCCCCAAACAATTAGCTTAACTAGTACATTCTGTGGCTACAGCATGGACCAACGTGTTTCGATTCCCTGTGTGTGGGGGGGGAGGGATATGTTGCCCGTGACGTCATCGAGACCGGCCCTGGCCAGTATGCAGCCCCTTGTTCAGTGTGTGCCGAGGAAAAAGGGGCCGGAGCGCGAAGCTGACCACTCTTCTCCTCGCGCCAAATTTAAGAGTACATGGAGCTACACCTCCATTCGACCATCCATATTGATGGCTTCTATTTGGTCTCGTGTTGCAGCTCTGGTTACGACGTGTCTGCCTCAGTGTAACTGACGACTTTTCACTTGTGGTACACATAAAGTAGGGATAGTGGCTGTTTGAGTCGTGCCAAGCCCCGGGTCAGAGGTGAAGCCCCCAGTTTAACGAACGAGGAAGTGATACTGTGCTCCGTGGTCAGGGCTACCGCACAGCTCAGGGGGCGGTGATAAATGGGTATGGAGCAATGGTGGAATGATGACTAGCGGGGGAAAACGGAATGAACGGCGAGAAACCCGTGATTTCCACCACAAATCCCACACGAAGTCACCTGGAAGTGAACCCGAGGCTCTGCGGTGAGAAGCCAGGGCCTAACGGCACGAACCTGGTCCTGTGTTAAATTCGTGCAATGTCCTTCCATCCGCACTTGCAATCCGAGATTCGCAGAACAAGAGGACGGACATGTAATTATTGCAAGCTCTTTATCTCTCGCAAGGAGTTCCGAAAAGTGAACACACAGCTTGAGGAGAGAGAAATCCTTTCACATAACGTTATCCTGCTCTCTCTCACTCTCCACTCCTCTCCGTCCTTAATCGCGTTGCTAGGCAATCACAACCGGTTCTAGAGTGCAAAAGTGACCTATGTCAGACGCTGTCCTGGTGCTTCAGTTCCTGAAGCCGTCGCTGTGTGGCTCCACTGCGGACAAATAATACGAACGGCTGTCGTGATGACACGTAACCTCATAACTGCAGTGTATTTTGCGACTCAGTTATACGCGGACGCGCTTGCTGACGCCGGTTCCCGGCAGCGCCCTTCGCTTCCGGTTGCCAATAATTGCCGCACGATGACACAACAATACTGGGCTGATCAGCTCCCCTGCCGTCGCTTTATCCACCCCACCCCCCGTTATGGGCCTCCATTTCCGGACTTATCCTTCGCCTCGCGCACTCGAGTCTTTTCTTCCCCCAACAAAGGCCGCGGCTCATACAGGGCTGATTTTACAAAAACCCGATTTACTGCCTCTCGAGAGATCCAGTGCTGGCAATATCCACCGCATTGTGGGGGCTCCGGGCAAGCGCGTACAGTCCCGGCAACATCTGTGACGTGTCTACAGGGCCTACCCAAGCTGTCGCGTAATCTGCGTCACGTTGTGACGTAGAGATACATTGCTAGGCAACGACTCGGTAAATACATTCCGCAGAAGCGTACGCGAGCAACAATAGGACGTTCATTGCTAGGCAGCCGATTAGTAAATAAGCTTTCTTGACAATACAGAGGCTGTGTTTTCTGCTTGGTCCGTGCCGAGGTGTTATAAAGAGAGTTATAAAGAGTTTTCGAGAGTTGGGTCGAGTTCTGGAGATGGCACTCGAAGGTGACTGAGAAGAAATGAATTAGACTGTGCAAAGAAAACTTCACGACTGATTTGAAGTTACAGTGAGACTAAGTCCGTTGCCAGGATGCGACTAGTGAAGACTGAGAACCCTAGTGCGTGTGCACCGGTGAACTGTAGCGTGTAGATCAGTGACAGCGCTGCATTGCCTGTAGTACCGAGTTTTGTGATTGTATAAGGTGTCAATAAATCCAATCATCCAATCCAAAACCTGCCTTAGAAGTCACGAACAACCCCCTCCCCCACACGTGACAATATTTTAGACAGTTCATACGATGGAGCTTAAAGAAATATGGTGTGGAATTCTGGAGTGGATTAAACCGGCCCATGATATAGTCCAGCAGCGGGATCTTGTGAACACGGTGAAAGATCTTCGAGTTCCATAAATTTCTGGGAATTTCTTGAACAGCTGAGCGACGCTCGGCTTCTGTGTTGCAGCCAGTTAGTAGTTCAGTTGACTTTCCTGGGGTGGGGTGAGACTGAGGCCACTAACTGGCCCACTGTACCGGCCCCGGATTGTAGACGAGTGTGGAGCAGTCGGTGGAATGAGAATTGGCGGGGGAAACCGAAGTTCCCGAAGAAAACCTGCCCCAGCGCCACGCTGTCCAGCACACCCCGCATGACCTGACCGGGGCTCGAACCCGGGCCGCCGTCGCCACAGTGGGAACGCAGTTAGTGAGACGGGTTCCCGAGTTCCCGCAAACAGCGTGAGGCCCGCTACGCCGGGAGCCCATGTGGTGTCTGGATTGAGGGAGATTGAGGAACTGGATTTAGCTGACAGGGCGACCCCCCCCCCCATTTCCTCAGTCATTGAAAGTGGAATTCGTTTTAGTACAGTCCACGTTCTGAAGGGGGTTTGTTCAAGCAGGGGGTAAAATGGGGATGAAGTCTTCAAGTTAAAAGCTTTAAATTAGAAGATAATAGGTTCTACCCTCTGCCGGGAGCTGACAGACGATAATGCTCCGCTGAAGACCTTCAAGTCTCCTGTCGGTGAGTGAGAGGACACGTTGTAATCGCAGCTGCTAGGATGTGCTGTCCTGAAGCGTTTAGAATTTCGTGTTCTAAATACAGCCCTACTCGCATACGCTCACGGTCCAAGAAAGCCTCATCCCGTGGAGATAATATTGAAATGGATAATAATTAATGGCGTGTAAGGATATGAAATGGAATCAACTGGCACTGGATAGGGATCAGTGGTGGCTTTTGCGAACGTAATGAGACCTGCGGGTCCGTGAAATGGCGAGGAATCTCTCGACAAGCTTGGCCGCTCTGAGACCGACCAGTCTGTTTGCATAGCATGGCGATGTCCGTACGATTGACACACATGCACCCCGGCCGGTAGCTGGGTAAATATGGAGCTAGGGGTCAAATGAGGGCCTCCTTGGGTTTATTATTCAGCACGAATTGTCTGCAGTCTTGCTGCAATTGTCGGTACAGTTGTCACGTGGCATTAGTACTGGGTCCAACATGAGTATCTCCCCTAGTTCTGCCTGGCAGAAGATGCAGATGTCACTTAGTTATTTGTGTTTTATAGTGTGAAGGAGAGAGAGAGAGAGGTCACAAGTATAGTAGAAGAGTAAGTGGAAGTGAAAAGTCATGATAAACGTGGGAGACGCTTTGCTGTGTGAAGGGAGAAAGACCACCATTTTGTTAAAAGGTTGCCAGGATTCGCCCCCTCGTTCTTCTGATAAGGCCAGTGAGCAAGTGAAACCGTTAAAACGGTTAGAAACAGTAAGACTTATAAATTCAGTCCGTACCTCACAGGAAACACATTACGTCACCACTACAGAGCCCAACCGGTTAATGCTGTTTAGGGAAACAGTCGCTGTTTATTGTGAGAACCATACGGAACACACAGATACAGAGAGAGAGAGAGAGAAAGAGAAGAAGAAGTGGTGGTCGTAGTGAGACACTACATTGGGGGCGGGGGGGGGAAAGAAACTATATCTCAGATTTTGAAGGTTCCCAGGCAGTGCCCGCTTGTCCTTCTGGTAAAGATAGAGCATATGATCGGATTTTTGTTAGGGTTCGCGTATTTAAGCCGGACTGCTGGCTAGAAGTCACTTTGTATCCGGAAGGTCCTGAGACCGGCCAGCTCGACCAAGGTTTTCCGTGGTTTTCCTCGGTACTAGAGCAAATGCTGAGTTGGTACCCAATTCCACGTTGCACTGCATGCCTCACATGCAGCCCTCCCGTTGTTAACATCAAAATTTCGCCTTAATATAGCCCTCCCAACGATAGCAAAAACAAAAACAAAACACAGATACACTGTGTGGGCAGAATATATAGCAATCCAGCCCGTACCTCACAGGAAACACATTACGTCACCACTACAGAGCCCAACCGGTTAATGCTCTTTGGGGAAACAGTCGTTGTTTATTTATTATTTATTATTAAAAAAATCCGATCATATGCTCTATCTTTACCAGAAGGACAAGCGGGCACTGCCTGGGAACCATCAAAATCGGTGATATAGTTTCTTACCCCCCCATGTAGTGTCTCTCACTACCACCCCCATTTCTTCGCTCTCTCTCTCTCTCTCCAACCGATTAATGCTGTTTAGGGAAACAGTCGCTGTTTATTGTGAGAACCATACGGAACACACAGATACACTCTGGGCAGAATGCAGAGCTCCATAAAGCTGTGTCCACATTCGCGAGCCGAGGTTCGAGCCAAGCTACAAACCGAGCTCAGTCGCGAGCTCATGTTATAACTTTCCATGCGGCTCGCAGTTGTGTTTGCCAACTATGGACGTGTTTAAAGCTCGCGATAGGGTTCGGCTCGAAGCTCGCTAATATGGACACAGCCTAATGTTATAGCAAGTGGCACGTATAATTACCACTGTGC